TTACTCCAGAGCAAATTCTAAAGGCAGAGGCTGCTTCATTCACCCGTCCCATCTCTGATGTGGGCGCTGGCCAGGGTGCTGAAGCCATATGTCGGCTGCGGTCCAAAGTGCTGGGTCGGAGCCTCTGGCAAGAAGGGTGGGATAACTGAGTGGAGAGGAAGGGGTGGGACCAGTGACCAGCAGGAATCTGCCACAGAAGTAGTCTGACCACAGTGATCTTTCTGACACATCCTTAGCTCAGTGTCCTCCCAAGGCCCCTGGCCACTGCTGAGCTGATCACCCTCCACTCCTGTTTCTGTACCACCTCCATTGTAGGACACTCTCAGGTTAGAGGTTAGCCCTTTACCACATGCTGCTTTCCTGAGACGAGTCCCTGGGGACAAAGGAATCTGGAGGCAGTGAGACCCGTTACTGATGGCTCACACTCCATCCACCCAGGGAAAGGCTTCTTTTCTGAATCCAGCTTCTTCATCTGTAAATGGGGCCTTCTGTAAAAGGCGCCTTTTCTAACATCACGGTCAGGAAAAAGAAGTGGTGATTGTTATGTAAGTGGTGCATGTCCACAGACATGACACTGTCCCAATGAGCTACCAGGTATGCAGAAATGAGAGAGCATCGAGGGTGCCCGGGGAATGAGGGGCATTCGTCCCCTGTCCTGTCACTCACAGAAGCCCGAGGCTGTTGCTGCTTAATGGGGTTCTGGGATCAAGGACTCAGACCCCTTAAATGCTACCAGTCTGAACCACCTAATCTTTTCCAGTATTTTTATTAACTAACTCAAATTAGTGGTCAAAATAATCCACAAAGTTATCTGGACATGGAGGTGCACATGTTTAACCTCGGCCCTTGGGACGCAGAGGCAGGCAGATCTCTGTTGATTTTAAGGCCAGCCTGGCTTACATGGTAAGCTTCAGGTCAGCCAGGGCTACATAGTGAACACCCAAAACCTCAAAACAAATCTCAAAGACAAACTAAACAAACCCTCAAACTCACATACAATGGCATTAAATGAAGCAAAGGCTACTTCCTGGTTTCCCCTGGGAAAAGAGCTGAGGCCACATTGCCTAATGCTAAGCTGTCCCTGTACAGCACTGAAGTCATTCCACAGAACCCCTGTTCCTACCTGAGGTTCATCCACTGTTCTTGGAGATGAGCTTCTAGGATTGGCCATGTTGCATGCCCTGCTGGGACTGGATTTTCTAGTGCCCACTCTGGGAGCTGATATAGATGCCTGCCTAGCAACATTGGCCAGCTGTAAGTGGGTGCCTTTTCTCTTAAAGGTCTGAAGGGTAGGAGTGGAAGTACTGGACTATGTTACATAAAAGTGCCTTCCAAGGAAGGGGAAACCACCAGCAGGCTGTGAGGTCCAGAGCCCCGCATGCTCTTTGCAGGATCATGACCACTGCAGCCTTCCTGAAATATCTTGTGTGTGGTCTGATTGGAAGCCGGGCTCTGGCAATTAATCCTGTGGAGGCACCACTCAATTGCAGGAGGTTTTTTCTGTTTAGTTCCCTTGGCCTAGATTTCCCTGGGGACAGCTCTGCCCAGGCCTCGACCTAGTAAATTAAATGTTAAAAAATCCTTACAATGACTTTAATCAATCCACAGAGGTGGTGGATGGCCTCCTCCCAAGGTTCAGGGGCTTGGAGGGGACTGAGTGGGGGATGAAGACAGGAGTGGTTTCCCTGCGAGGAAGTCTGATGTCTTATTGGAGCCTGGGCTCCCGAACTGGAGCTGGGAGGAGGGCCTCTGTTCCCTTTAAAGGCTTGTCCTGATCTCTTGTGGATGGCTATGGGAGTAGAAGGGTCCATAGCCCTCTCGTTCCTTTGCAGTTTAGAAGCCTCGGCAGACACTGGGCGGCTGTCTGTCGTTGCGGGCCTGCCCAAGGCGTTTAGACTAGCCTGTTGGAAGCAGAACCATAGGGCGGCTGGCCTGTCAGGCT